ACTAACATGTCTGTGAGATCCAAAAGTCTTACTGGTTGTTAGATGATCAAATACTTATTTCACACAAGAAAATGGAAATAAATTATTTAAAAACCATACATTGCATTTTGCTGGATTTTTGTTTTAGATTCCATCACTCACAGTTGAAGAGTACCTATGATAAAAATTACAGTCATCTACAAGCTTTGCAAGTGGGAAAACCTGAAAAATCAACAGTGTGTCAAATACTTGTTCTCCCCACTGTATAACAAGTCTCCATAATCTAAAATGGACAAAAATGTTGCTGTGACAAGCCGCTTTTTAACCATAAAAGAAAAATTTATTTTATTTCGAAAAAAGAAGCCCAGTTTAAGTTTCTTCACAAGATTTTGGATGTGGGTCTTAAAACTGAGGGAGTCATCAATCAAGAACCCAAGATATTTGTATGTATGAACCATCTCTGTAATATTTCCTTCAAAAGTGGACACAGTGGGGATCATCAGAGGCACCTTTTTGTTTGCAAATAGCATTAGTTTAGTCTTATCAGCATTGAGAACCAACTTTAGCTGCAGGAGTGTGTGCTGGACAACATCATAAGCTCTCTGCTGAGATTCTACAGCTTTAGCAACAGTCGATCCAAAACAGTAAATAATTGTGTCATCGGCATAAAAATACATATTAACATCTGACACATTTTATTCTAATAGCCACTCCCGACAGTTCCGGTTTGCGGTCAACACAATGTTAGTGAAAGATTTTTTTCTCCCGACGACTCTTAATGATCTCCACAGTACAGAATTAGCATATTACATGTACCAACACTAACACAGGAGATGTACAGGTCCAGCCAAGTGGAAAAAAAAATCACTCCAAACTGAATTAAAGACATAAAAACAAAGGAAAGACGTTCGTGTTAATGGTTCCAGAATTTAGCCTTTTTCTCTATTCCGTGGCTGCTTGTTCCGTGAATTTTTCACGTAGAGCTGTGACACTTATATTGTTGGAAAGAGCAGAGTCTGGGCTTTAAATTGATGGGCTACTTGTATGGTTTGGATCGTTTTCCCCGACATTAGTGAACTGAAAACGTAATGATTATCAGGCTGAGGTTCTGCTGCTCTCTGTGCTCGGCTTTAGACTACGCTATAATATACACTCGAACAGGTTTTTATTTTTACATAAAACTCATGACAAAGTTGCCTAAAAACATTTCATACTCTGTGTAACACAAACACACACACACCTACCTTTGTACCGGCTGCTGTTAGCTTCATGCTAGCTGTCATGTGGAGGTSGTCTTTCCTCTCCCAGTCTTGGCAGTAAAAGGGGATAAATGTACATTTCCTTTTTGTAACCTCCATCTTCTCATTTCTGATGCTGGCTCTTGAATATCCTCAGGTTAGAAATGCAGATTACAAACACAAGCGTGAGCTTTTAAAGATAAGTTTTCCTTGTAATGTTATGATTCCTCTGCTGTCACCTCCTCATCATGAGGAAAAAGGAGAAAAACTAACTACTCGATCGTACTGCTGCTTAGTTGACACAACAGCACACAACAGAACTCACATTTTATACCAGTAGATCACAGATACTTTAACTTTTGTGACTTTTTCACAGACTAGTAGTAGCAGCTAACGCTAAAAACATAGGCAGTAAGCAGGGAGTGGAAGGGAGGAGCGTGGCAAAGATTTTACCGGAAATAACGTCATTAATGACCGTGGCATATAGGGTATTCATTAATGTACATAATGAACAGGAGGGGACCCAAGATTGAACCCTGTGGCACCCCCTTGTGTACACTCATAAAATTAGAACACAAACCATCATATTTAATACACTGAGTCCTGTTACTTAAACAGTTTGTGAACCAGGAAACCACATGATCTGACATTCCCAAACAAAAAAGTCTGTACTTTAAGACAGCATGGTCCACAGTGTCAAAGGCTTTTGACAGATCAATAAAAAGAGATGCACAGAACTGCTTTTGATCAAGAGCAACATTATTTCATTTAGTTTTTAGACCTGCGCAYGGTTTCTGTCAGAGCAGAGCTCCCTGCATGGGTTAAACACAAGCTGTTGCACTTTAGACAGATTTGAGATGTCCACACAAAATCTTTGATTACTTTAGGAGAAAATGTGTCTCACAAATATTTTGAGCAAGTTCAAAATTGAAGGGAGAGGACTGTGAATGTCTTAGACGAGACAACAGAGCTGCCACAAATGATTATTTTTATAATCGATTAATCACCGATTATTTTTTCGATTAGTCGACTAATCGGATCATACGTTAATTGAATATAAAACATATATAAAATATATAATATATACATAAAAGAGCTTATCGCACCAGAATGCAGC